AGGCTGAGGGGAGAGGGGAAGGACTGGGGGGCTGCGGGAGGGAAGGAGCCGTGCATTTGGGGAGGAGGAGTGAAGGGGAAAAGCTGTTCTGTTTCTGAGCAAACGGGGAAGGACAGGCGAAGGGGGCCTCTATTAGGGGAGAGGAGAGGAGGGCCAGGGGGACTCTAGGGCCCCAGTGCGAGGAGGGGTTCTCCGTCCCCTGCTCAGGGGAGGGGGTCGGTCACGGCAGGGCTGCGGGAGGGAAGGAGCCGTGCATTTGGGGAGGAGGAGTGAAGGGGAAAAGCTGTTCTGTTTCTGAGCAAACGGGGAAGGACAGGCGAAGGGGGCCTCTATTAGGGGAGAGGAGAGGAGGGCCAGGGGGACTCTAGGGCCCCAGTGCGAGGAGGGGTTCTCCGTCCCCTGCTCAGGGGAGGGGGTCGGTCACGGCAGTTGACAGCCGCGGGGTGGGCTCTAGGTGCAGGACCTGGAGCTGCGCTGGGCCCTTACAGCCCTGGGAGCAGCTCCAGGAGGTGTGAGGCGTCCCTCCCCCTCCCACACCTCCTTGTGCTGTCCCACAGCCTTACCCCGGGGCCCAGCCCAGGCCGTGCTCTTCAAGAAGGGTCAGAGCGGATATGGGGAAGGAGAAGGGTTTTAATCCAGTGTGGGACTCCAGGAGCTGGCCCTAAACATCAGCCCTCTTCTGTTGTTTATTGATTTTATTTGTAAATAGTTATCTGCCATTAAAAATAAAGGTTTGACATTCAGAACATGACGCCTCCATGAGTGGCATCCTGAGGAGAAGGCCCTTCCTTAGTGCCCACTTAATTTTGCAGTTTCTCTTGTGCCTGGCTTTTAAGGCCTTTCCTACCCTGACAATGTAGGGGAAATCATTACAGCACGGCTGCATGTTGCATGTTGAGATTGTTTATCTCAGTTAAATGGGGCCACAGGGCTGTGTTTCTCTGCAAGCAGTCAGAGGGTGTTCGTGCTGCTTCCCCCTGCTCAGTGAGTTCCCCTCAGAGCCTGCTGGTGCAGAACGAAAGCACCCGGTTTCGTTTTGACCCAGCAGCAGAGGGTGTTTGGGCTTGCAGGGCCATGGTGTTTTTGACTTGATGCCAGGAACCCAGCAGCCCGATTTGTCAGGGCAAGGACCTGAACCTCTTTTTGTTTTCCATAGAGCACCTTGAGTGATGCCCAAGAAGTTCCAAGGTGAAAACACCAAGTCGGCTGCTGCCCGCGCGAGGAAAGCTGAGGCAAAGGCAGCAGCCGATGCCAAGCGTCAGCAGGAGTTGGAAGATGCCTACTGGAAGGATGAAGACAAACACGTGATGAGGAAGGAACAGAGGAAGGTGAATAATGAGTCAGGTAGAAGGGGACCCTGCAGCTGCTCCTTTGCTAAGCGTGTGAGATCCAGGCTTGCTCAGCAAGCGCTGCTTCTCATCCTCTGTCCCCCAGTTGTAGCTGCCTTTCCACATGTTGTCCTGCCCTTAGTTTTGGGCAGAAAAGCTGGAACTGGTGGTTTCTGCAGGGAGCTAAAAGAAGCCGAGCGTGGGAGTAAGTGTAAGCTTTGATGTGTAATTCAGAAATCTGGTGGATCTTGGAGCTGCCTTCCCGAGGGAGGCAGTAACAGCTTTCTTGTTGGAATCATTTAACACGGAGTTAAGTGGAAGGTCAGGAACTCTCCTGCAGGGCTTGATTTTTGACCAAGCAGTTCTTTAGCTTTTTTTTCTTCTTTTCTTTGGTTTTTGTGGAAGGAAAAAGAAACCAGCAGGGTTAAGGGTTACAAAGCCTTTTTATTCTTTTCTCCCCGTTTTGATGTGCCCTGCACCAGGATGTGTCTCTCAAAAGATTCTCCCTGGTTTGCTCCGCCCTGGGTGCCCTTTTGCCTCGGTGCCCAATAAACAGAGCAAGTCTGCACTCGTTTCTGGGTTATTTGGCTTTTAACGTTGTCCTGCATCAGCATGGGACAAATCCGCCTTCTGCTTTTGGGGATTTTTCTAGAAATAATTGGCGATAACCGAGCTGCCCCTCCTGCAGTGATTTCTTTACCCAGACGGGGTTCTGAGATGACATAAATGGTATTTATGGGGTTGCTGGGTTTGTGCCGCTCTGTGGGCTCGGTGCTTGCTGAGCTCTGTGTGTCAGAGCAGGCAGGGAGCCAGCGCGTCCCCGTGACCTCGGGAGCTGTGCGCCGTGTCCGTCTGCGTGAGTTCACCCCTAACGCGTGCCTTGACGTCTGGAATTTGGAGCCCTGTGTGCTGTTCCCCTACGCAGTCCTGTAATGCTGCCTAATTACTTCCTGGAACAGGCACTTATTATTGCTCCACTTCAGATTTCGCCAGCACTGACCTATTTGGGCTTCCAAAACAGCCTCCTGCAGCCAGGGGCCGTGGGAGTCTGGCGAGGGGAGCCGTGTTGTGGGCTGGAATCGCCAACTGGGAAACCAGGGTCCCATCCCAGAGCCTCAGACTGGGTTTTGGAGAAACCAGGCACTGGAGAACAGAAGCTGCTGCCTGAACCCGGTGCATCCCAGCAGGGAAGGGCTACGTGACTCAGCCTGCAAATGACTTCCCCTCCTCGTCCTGGGGAGGACAGAAACTGAGCCCTTCGCAGGCTCCTGCCCCGGAGCAGGAGCTGTTTTGTGGGTGCTGGCATGGAGATGGTGCTGCTGGCCACGGCTGTACGCTGCAGCGGGAGCTCTGTCGCTCAGCTACGGCACCCGGAGAAGGGGATGCGGGGTGTGTGGGAGGGTGCAGCCAGCCCTTCCCAGCTCTTCCCAGCCCTTCCCAGCTCTTCCCGGGCGATGGCAGTAACATGTTTTGAGCACCAGAGCACACAGGGCAGCAGTCCTGCGCCACGAGCAGGCAGGAGCGGCTGTAAGCTTTTGGATGTGATGAGACCAAACCCCAGGCCCCCCTTTTGATCCCTTTCTACCCCATGATGACCACTGGAGCCTCCATGAAATAATTGGGACCGCAGAGCTCTTTCTGATGTGGGCTGGTGCTGTGGTGGTCTGACGGGGCAGTGATGCACATCATTGCTAATATCTGAGCGCAGGGATGCTTAACGTTCCAAATGCAGCGCCTGCTGTCCTGAGAGTCGCTGCCACCAGATGTCGAGCCCACTGTTTGCTTTCGCTGCGTTCTGGGGTTTGTTTAAACGCCTCCCCCCTGCTCTGAGGGCGGCCGTCGGAGCTGATCTCAGCTAACGGAGGATGACACTCGTTTGGTGGCTCTGTGGAGCGGAAAGGAACATCTGAGCTCATGTCACCAGCCTGCGATGTGCGTGTGCCTCCTCTGGCACCTCAGCACAAGTCACAGCTTGTTACCTCCCTGGAGAGCACAAAATCCACGTCTTTCTTGCTGGAAGGCTTGGGGTTTTACCTCAGTAACTGCTTTTCTTTCAGCATTGGGGCGTTTTCATCCTCTCTGTCTCTCCCCACTCTTCCCCTGCAGGGTGAGTGCCATCAGCTCAGGTGTGTGGTGGTGGTGGAGCTGCAGGCAGGCTTGGAAAGGTGGCAAACCATTAAATGTGCTGGAGCACCATGGGAAGAGAGCACTGGTGGGGGATCTGCCAAGGGCAGCTGCAGTCAGACCCCTTCTCTTCTGCTGACCTTGGCTTTATGCTCTGTGCCCTGTGGGTACTCACAGGAAGGTCTCACTGGCCAAAAGCCACCGGAGCAGCCAAATTCCCAATCTCCTTCCCAAACTCACACTGGCTGATGGAGGAGAAGCCCTTCTCCCTGTTCAGGCTGTGTTTTTGGAGTGCCCATATGCCAGAAAAGCAGCTCCTCCTCATTCAGCAGCAGCTCAAACCCTCTGGCACCGCTCTCTCTGCCCAGCATGTGGTGATGTCAGTGGCACCATCCTGTGGAGGCCTCTCCCACAGCTTCCCTTGGTGGAAACGGCCAAGGGAGAGCGTGCAGACGATGTGGGAGCAAGGAGACTTTTTGTACGTGTGCACACAGGGTCTGGGGAGAGACTCAAGCGAAATGCAGGGTGAGTACTTGTGCTAGGAGAGCACAGATAGCGCACGAGGGAGCCGTGAGACTCTTGGTTGGTGTTTTATGCCTCTCTCTCACCCATTAGCCCTGGTTGCGGTGCGGGCTGGCAGGTTCGTGTGGTCCCAGCTGCAGCGGTGTCGCAGGCAGACGAGCGGTGATGTTCTCCCCCCTTCTCCTGTGATTCAGTGCAGAGTCAGCTGCGAGCACCAGCTCTTACTCAGATCAAACCCAAGACGGGTCCAGCAGCCACTCCTCCCTCTTTGGAGGGCGTCTGCGTGGCACCAGGTGCATGACACTGAAATCGATGGCAACGCAGGGGGCAGAGATGGAGCGGAGACACCTGATGACACCGGGATGGGGTTCAGGCCCCAGAAACGGCTTCCTCAGGCTCAAGTTTCCCTTTACTTGCTTTGGTGGCCTGAAGGTGCGTGTTTGATCGCATCTCAAAGCTCAGAGAGCCCAGCGAGCACCGAGACACCATCCAGGCTGGTTATACCCTGTTCTTCCACCTGTGTCACTTTTTTGGCATTGCTTTGCCCTTGTGCTGTGTGAGGAGCGCTGTGCTGTGCTGTGCTCCGCAGCCTCGGGGCCTCACGCTCAGAGGTTGATTGGGAGCACTGCTGCTTCCATCGACCGCTTGCTCTTGGAGCCGCCTGCTTTGGTGCCTTGCGCAGCTCCTGTCTGCGGTGGGAAGCGGTGCTGAAAGCTGATGAATGGTTCCTCCTTCAGGCAGTTGTAAACCTGCCTTTTAACCCAAAAATCCTTGGAAACAGAGGTGTCCAGCTAAAGAAATCTCAACCCTGCTCCTCCCGCTGCCCCTGAGGGAGAAAATTACCCATTTCCTTTCCAGTTTTCTAACAGCTTTGCGATGTGTTTCACTTAGACAAATACAAGCGTCTCTTTCGTCAGCATTTTAAAGCTGATTCATAAAGGATTGGTTTGATTTGACCCAGTGGAAAAAAGGGCTTCAAAACTGACAGTTTCAGGCCGCTCTGGGAACTGGGCAGCTCGGAGCTGCTGTGTTGGAGCATCAGGGAGGTGCAGAGCAGAGCCGGACGTGAGAGGCCGCTGGGGAAACCTGAGTGTGGGGACTTTGCGTGTCTTGTGACAAATTAATGATGGTGCCAGCTGATTTCCTCGCTGCAAATAGCAGCTGGGTTGTAAATGCCAGGGAGCAGCTCACGCCAGCAGTCGCTGCGTGTCCCCTTTGGATGCGTCCTCTTTGGAGAGGCTTGCAGGGAGCTCCCGGAGCGTTATCCTTGATTTCTGCTCTGTCCGGCTGCTGAGCCAGCGGCCTTGCAGGGCAGTTCCCTTGCTGCAACAAGCAGGGGTAGAAGATAACCTTCTCCAACAACAGATAACATTTCTGTTCTGAAATGGCTCGCTTAGGTCATTATCGCTGGTGTATCCACTCCTTATCTCTCCTGAATTATTCAGACCGTCTCCGGGTGCCTTTTTGGGTCACCGCTGAGTTTCAGTGATGGGATGAGTGGTTTCTTTGCACTGCTCCATATTCTATTCACCGTACCAGTATCTTGAATATGCAGTGCTGCTTCTCTTGCGTGTGCTTTAAATTGAGTTAAACAGCTTGCTCTGCTGGGCCTTCAGGGATTGCTGTGCCCCTCCTTCTGTTCTGGCACTTGAATCTCTCTGGTTTGGGGGTTTCTCCTGTGTTCTTGCTCAGGTGAGTACATTTTTAGGGGGATAAGGCTGTTTTCTCCCTCATCTCATTCCAGGAGTGGCCAAAATCCCTCTTGGCAATTGGAAACCCTGCATAGTCCAGTGGCTGGGGCTTTGTGTCTCAAAGCTGAGCACTCGATGACAGCAGTTTGAAGGCCACCCGTTGTAATAAAGGCTCCATCCCTTAATGGCTCTTTTCCCATCCCAGGCCGCTCAGAGTGGAGGTCGGGGAGGCTTTGCTTTCCCTTTGCGGGTTGAAAGGCCTGGTCCTGGGAGCCGCAGCAGCCCCAGGGCTCGTTTGGGTTCACTTTGTGGGCGTGGGTTTCGTTTTGATGGGTTTTTCTGTGAACCCTCGAGCAAGCGATGGGTTTTGCCCTTTTCTTTAACAGCGTCTCAAAGCCCAGCCTTGCTTCCCGTCTCCCCAGCGTGTGCAGTTCAGCTCCTGCGTCGCTGCTGCACCTCTGAGTGAACCCATCCCGTTAATGCTCCTTGTGCCATCCCTGTGAATAATGGATGAGTGCCGTAATTAAGCGTCCATGTAACGAACCGAAACCCAAAGTGCTTTGTGCCGCCCCAGACAGAGATGTTCACTTCTTTCTTTTCTTGCCCAACCTTGCAGGCTTTAGGAGAGGAGAAGGAAAACTTGAACCCAGAGTGCTTAAGGGCCTGTTTCCTGGTCTTGTCACTCTCTTTCCTAGGCCTTGAAGGGCAAAAGTGGCTCTTAAACCCCTTCTGGAGCACTTCAAATTACCACAAGAGCTGCTTTGCATGTTAGGTTTGGCCTCAACGCCAGCCCAGCTTTTAGGGAGAGCACGAGCCAGACCTGAGGACAAACTCAGGCTCTCGAGCACCCGCTGAACTCTCAACCTCCCAGCACTTATTAAAATTAAAGTGGAAAACTTAACCTGTTTGTCAGTGGCCCTGGCCCTGCCTCCTGCTCGATGGTGGGGTTGTGTTTCAATGTGCTGGCATCCTGGGGCTGTGGATGGGGGAATCGTTGTTCTGAAAGGATTAATTGTTATTCTGAAGGAATTATTCTGAAGGAACAGGTCAGGCTCTCGCTGTCCTGCTGGATTTCAGCATGAGTGAGTTGGTATCTCCTGATAAGGTGAGGTCAGCGCTGCATTAGCTCCAGAAATGAGATGTCTGCTGCTGTTAAATGGGGTTCCCCACCCTGTTAAGGGATAGTTTGGTCCCTCTGCTTTACCACGAGGTGATGGTGGAGGTGACCTGGTCCTTTCTGCCCTGCAGGAGGAGAGGGAGAAGCGGCGGCTGGAGCAGCTGGAGCGCAAGAAGGAGCTGCAGCGCCTGCTGGAGGAGGAGGACTCCAAGCTGAAGGGGAAGGCACCCAAGCAGCTCACCCCGGGCAAAGTCACCCGAGCCCAGATTGAGGAGAGCATCAGGAGAGACCAGCAGCAGAAGGAGAACACAGAGACAGGTCTGGTGGTGCCGTGGAAAGGCCCTGACGGTCGTGGTGGTGGGCAGGGAGGCTGTTGCCTTTGCTTTGTGTCTGTGTCTAACACCCACATGGGGGGGAAAAAACCCCTCCTGTCACCCCGAGGTGGGGAAACGAAGCTGCAGAGCAGGGCTGGGGCTGAGGTTTCTCAGTGTTTTCTTCAGGCTGCTGTGGAAATCCCTCTTCTAGGGGTTTTACAGAGCCTGGGATTGATGTTAAGAGCCCTTTTCCACTCCCCATGCAGTGGAGAAGGAGAAGTCACACTTGGAGGTCCCCTTGGAGGAGAACATCAACAGGCGGGTGCTGGAGGAAGGGTCGGTGGAGGCCAGGACCATCGAAGATGCCATTGCTGTCCTCAGGTACGTGGCCATCCCACAGCGCTGCTCTCCCTTCACGTCCCTTTCCTTACAAGAAATCACTGCGGATGCTCCCCCCCCAGAACCAGCTGCGTTTCACCCCTCGACTGCGGGTTTCTGTCTTGACACCGTGAGCAGGACGTGTCCCCTGTGCTGTCGCTGTGTGGAAGAGGGATGGGGAGGGAGCACAGGGGTTTCTGCTTCATCCCCAAGTCATTCTGCGCGCACTCGGTGTCCCTGATGTGCCTTCATCCGAATTCCCTCCCGGCAGCGTTGCCAACGATGCGGACCGGCACCCTGAGCGCCGGATGAAAGCCGCCTTCACGGCCTTTGAGGAGGTGAACCTGCCACGCCTGAAGCAGGAGAACCCCAACATGCGCCTGTCGCAGCTCAAGCAGCTCCTCAAGAAGGAGTGGATGAAGTCGCCCGAAAACCCCATGAACCAGAAGCACAAAGCTTACAACAGCCAAAAGTAGGACTGGAGCTGGTGGTGTTCTCCCCCCGGACAGCGGGCTGGAGCCACAGGGCTCTGATGGATGAGGAGACACGAGGACCCCCCCCCTCCTTCTGTGCCCCCTCCTCACCTCCACTTTTTGTCTTTTCTTTTTATTTAAGATAAGCAGGAGGCCATGGGACCCCGCAGTGTCCCCCATCATCACTGGCGCCTGTGCCCCCCCACGTCCTCGCCCCTCCACAGGCAGCCGATGCAGAGCGACCTGGACAGTCTAACACTACCTTCCTGCTTCCAAATTCGGTTGTTTTACCCCAAAAATACCCTGCTAACTTGCTTGCAGCCCTTTGGCATCACCGGCACCGTGTGTTACCCTGCTCACAGCCAAACCGCATCCATCCCTGCCTCTGCCATGGCTGTGTCACATCCTCGTGCTCCACGGGGTCCATTTTTGTGACCGTCATGAGGAAGGAGCCTGTCCTCTGTCACTTGGGTCCCCCTCAGTGCTGGGGTGTCCTCAAAAAGGCCACCTTGCTCCTCTGGATCGTGATGGGTGTCGGGGAGGAGGAACCGCAATGGGAGGAGGTGTGGGGGGAGAGAGAGAAAATAATCTTTAAGGGGAAAATGGGAGAAATTGGCTCTGCCAGACCTGTGTGTGACTTTGGTGGCCTTGCACAGCACTGGAGGGGACAGGAAGGGGATCCTGGAGGGGCTGCACCCCCATGCTGCCCAACAACCACCCCCAGGAAGGAATTGGCTGCTGCTACCATTGCTTCCTCCTCTGCCTGCACCCAGGATCAGGCAAAGAGGTGCTGTTTTTGGGGGGGGGGTGGGTGAGACTGAACCAGGGGCACTGACCTGGCTGTGCTGCCTCAGCAAAAGAAATTGGGGAGCTCCCATGGGATGGCAGAAATAAATTGGAGAGCTCCTGTGGGAGGGCACTGGGTTCCCCCCCTCCCATTCCCTCTGGTCATTTTTAGGACCTAAATCCCCCCTGTGAGGTCTCAGCCCCTGCCCTGCAGCAGCTCTGATGTCCTTGGTGCTTACCCGGGTGCCAAACCCTAATTCATGGCTGGTGCCACACCATGGCCTCTTCCCATGGTACCAAACAAAGAAGGGGTTCACTCCGAGTGGGGGGGGTCACAGGAGTCCTGGGGTGATCATTTTGGTGGTGGAGGGGCTTGAGGAGGTGATGCAGCTGCTTTGGGGTGTTCTGTGCCCCCTTTGCAGAACAAGGCTGAAGGAGCTGAGCCAATGTTGTCCCCCCCCAGCACAGGTAAGGACAGGGAGCAATGCAGCCGGTGCCCCCCCTTTTCTGTGAGATGTTTGTTGTGTTTGAACCCAATTAATAATGATAAAAAACCCTGTGAACTTGTGGAAGGAATAAAGGGTGGGGGGGCAAGGCTTGGTTTTCCTGGGGAGGGCTCTTTTCTCCCTGAAATGGCTAAAATTCCTGCTTGGCTTTGGTTTGTGGTTCCTACAGAGGTGGGAGGGGGGCTTTCAAGGGAGACCCCTACTTTGT